ATAAATAACATTCTGATATGTCGGTCATAAATTCGAATGTACATTTTTGTGTCGTATTTTGTTAATATGCCGTCGCCACAGAAAAATAGAACATATTGATAAAAATTCTAGGCCTATATAGGGGCAATGGAAACTACGATGGCCGAGAAGGGCCACGACTGTAAACACTCGCCGTTTTTTTTTACCATTACACTCGTCGTTTTTTTCCCTTCACAATTACACTCGCCGTTTTTTTCTTCAGAATTACACGCGACGTTTTTTTCAGTTATGATGCAATAATTACACGCGACGTTTTTTCAATGCAATATTACACGCGACGTTTTTTCAATGCAATAATTACACGCGACGTTTTTTCAATGCAATAATTACACGCGACGTTTTTTCCCAAAAAATTACACTCGCCGTTTTTAGAGTTACGTTTTAAACTGAGGGTTTCACTTCGGACGAAGATGGGAGCAATCATTTAAGGTTATGTGTGTTTCATCAAAACTAAAAATCATGTAAATACATGGGTACAAAATTTCACTTTTCACTATTTCAGTCAGTTAATTTATATGAATATATACTGTAATGCATTGTTTTCTTTTGTGTTTTCCAAACTATATAAACAAAAGCTTTGTGTGTTTTGAAAACAATGCATTAATCATTGATTCATAACCGACTGAAAGTGAAATTTCATGGCCAGAAATCACGGACATGATTATTCTACCTTACTAACTTTGCATATCCGATTTAATACATAACCCATTGAAATTTGGTTCGATAGTAAACAGTTGATTCTATTACGCGATGCTTCAAATCGCAAAATCAGAGATTATTGGTAGTCGTTTGCAGTTTGCCTCGATTGCTGGTTGCAGAACACGGTATATCGTGTAGTGTTTGCCTGGTGTAAGTTACTTCCTATTCTGCATTTTCGTTTGTTTCTGGTGGCTATAGACAGTGCGGTATCATTATATATAAAATATAAATAGACAAATGCCGTACAAACTAATTTGAAACTAACCTCCGTACAAAAACTGAAAATGCAGAATGGTCACTAACTAAAACCAAGTGGCAAAATTACGCTAACTACTTCGACGTACAGACTTGATTTATAGCCAGCGACTGTAGCTACAAACGACCTACCATATTCTCGGATTTTGGGATTTACAGCATCGCGTAATCAATAATTTACTGTTTACTGCAGAAGCCATATTTCAGCGTGATATGCAAATTTGATGTCTGGCCACATGTGTACTGTATTTACATGAGTTTTAGTTCTGATGAAACACACATAACCTTAAATGATTGCTCCCATCTTCGTCCGAAGTGAAACCCTCAGTTTAAAACGTAACTCTAAAAAAACGGCGAGTGTAATTTTTGGGAAAAACGTCGCGTGTAATTATTGCATTGAAAAAACGTCGCGTGTAATATTGCATTGAAAAAACGTCGCGTGTAATTATTGCATCATAACTGAAAAAAACGTCGCGTGTAACACTGAAGAAAAAAACGGCGAGTGTAATTTTGAAGGGAAAAAAACGACGAGTGTAATGGTAAAAAAACGGCGAGTATTTACAGTCATGGCCCTTCTCGGCCATCGTACTGTTCATATGATCCCGCTTACCGGGACGTCTCGCTTACCGAGGCGAATATTTCCGTGCGTTCATATGGAGTATTTCGTCCCGCTTGCCGAGATGAAATTACATTGTAGTTCTATAATTAGCGTATGCAAAACTTCTACATTTCAGTCAAGCAACACAAATACTTGGCGATTTTAGTGTTTTTCTTCGTTTATTTACAAGAAAAAGTATTGCTTGAGGTGGTTATTTAATACTTGTTTACAAAACAAACATAAAACCAAATAAAAAGTGTTAAATTAAACCGGCAAGACTTGTTTCACTTCATCCCGGTAAGCGGGCTGGCGTGTTCATATGGAAAAATTTTCATCCCGCCTACCTATGATCTCGGCAAATTCAAACGAGATCTCGGCAAGCGGGCCAGCTCGCTTTCTCATATGAACACAATGCAAAATTTTATAGGAAAATAGATACGCGGCGAGATCATCGGTAAGCGAGACGTCCCGGTAAGCGAGATCATATGAACAGGCCCTAAGACCAGCTACTACTAAGTAGCAATGTTGGCAATGTACCAGCTACTACATTACTACTAAGACCAGCATTACTCGTGGGCATCAAGCCTTGTGACATCATTATGCATAAGGTCTATATTGTCGTAAAAGTCTCAGGTCAGGCATGTCTGTTTTCGGCATACCTTACAGCCACGGCTTGTGGCTATATACAGACCTTCCAACTCTCACGGTTTGGCCGTGAGACTCACGGTTTAAGGTCTCATCTCACGGTCTCACGGTTTAGCCTCTAAATCTCACGGTTTTTCACAACCTAAAATGAAATCAAATTTATGTGTTCAGTCTGTCTTTATCACCGTTTTCATTTCAGTTCGATCAACTTGACTTAATTTTACGTATAATAGTCTATAGATAATAGTAAAACTTTTGTTGCTCGTAATACGCGTTATCTAGCGCATTGATATTAAATTGAGTGTCCACGCGTGTGTTTGCGCACGAATGTGTGATTGCTGACCAGCATGCCACGTGTTCAAGATGGCGGATGACAGTTACAGTGTAGATAATTTCCTGACATTGATTGCATTCGTTTAGCTATATTTAGCATCTGTTTAGACATAGTTTTAGCTAAAGAAGCACTTTATACTATGACAGTTTAAATCTTTCTAATATTTGTTATTGTTGACGTTTCTTCGTTTTCGAAAAATTTGAAAATCTCAAGGTTTGGGACCCAAATCTCAAGGTTTCTTCAAGTAAATTATTGGGATCTCAAGGTTTGGGTGTTTCAGAGGTTGGAAGGTCTGTATATATGGTATGACTGGTAACCGTATAAGTTATGCCGAAAATAGGTGCACTCACTACTTTATACTATATGTTTTGGTGTATATGAGGAGAGGGCGGTGAATAGGTTTTCGGATCGTCGGATCGTTCGGATTTTGGATTTGGCGAACATTTTACACGGATTTGCGGATCTTATTAATACAGCGGATTGCGGATTTATCGAATATTTTGGCTCGGATTGTGGATTTTAATGGCAATTCAGTTCGGATCGTGACTTCATAGTAGAGCTTTTAGCGATGGTCCTGAAGGGGGGGGTCGTATTCCCATTTCCCAGCCCAAATTTTGACTAAATTCCATTGTCCCAGAGCACAAATCCCATCACCTCAGTGGATGTCCTGCGCAAATCTTAATCCCATTAATTCCCATTTTCTATTGTTTTTTTGCTGATGAATCCCAGTCCTAGTGCATGAAATCCCATTTTCCCAACCAAAAAATAAGCAAATCCCAGTTCCCATTTTACCCCTTTCAGGACCCTCTTTAGCGGATCCAAATTTAGACAAGACCATTGTCGGACGGTGGATTTTGCTTAAACTTTGGGCGGATCAGCGGAGGATTTGTATACCCTTATTCACGCCCCCGCCATATGAGCATGCTCATCACACGAGTATACCGAATTTTTGGTACATATATGGGCTTGCTCATGAGTATACTGGATTTGGGTAAATACACGCTTCCGTAAAGTACGTCACCTCAATCTCGTACCCAGAGCAATGCCTGTGCGCGGGCTAGGATGACATTGGCTCTGGGGAAATTGAATTTTTCCTGTGCTGTGATTGGTTTAACGTTGATCAATCGTGCATGCCGACAAAGAACCGGAACCTCTAAATTTAGGGGTTCCGGTTGTCAATTTCCCCAGAGCCAATGCCATCCTAGCCCGCGCACAGGCATTGCTCTGGGTACGAGATTGACGTCACCTTGGCTATAGAGCCCCGTTTTCGTGGTGGCGACGTTGCCTTTAACTGATGTCACATACACTAAAACGAGGCTCTATAGATAAAGTTACATACTTTCCGGAAGGGTGTATTGAGCATCCTCATAACAATACTGGATTTTGCGGTATATATGTCAGCATTTTCATTAGGATTTGGGAAAATATTCAGTTTGTCTCATGCATGACTGATCTGGACGTAAGTTTTGACACCCTGTGTAGAATATTTTGAACTATTCTGTTTAACATTTTAATTTTTCAACTTTATTTTCATCCGTAATTACATCCAATTTAATTTAATCATTTATATATGAATATCAATTCGAATCAAGTATCAGTTCTCAATTCTTCAACACAACAAAGACAACACCCAACCACTGAAATAAATATTAAAACTATTACTAAAACAATATATCTGCCCTGGCTAAAAGCCTTGTCAATAGAATTGATAGACAAGAATTCCCCTCTATACATTCTACTTTTTATACTTTACACCAGGAAGTTAATTAACATAAAATAATCAGTCTGCCTATGTAGTGATCTATCATAGCTCACATACAAGTAAAATAATAGGCATGAGAAATATAAATAACTAGTCTGATACAAATGCCACTGTATATTTCATATAAAATTAAACTGAATCTGAATGTCCTATATATGCATAAACTCACTGTAAATACTCAAAGAGTTTGTCGGTTAACCGAGTTAAGTCCGAGATTCATTCCGAGCCCGAGTCAACTTAGTACCCTAACCACACTCCTTAAACCCTATATGTCTAAACCCTATTCGATTATGAATTTTATTCAATTTCGAAGTTTAAATCCGAGCCCAGTCAATTATGTCTGAGTCACTGTTAAGCGGTATTTGTAGTTCAATGAATTAGTACCCTAACCTTATTCCTAACCCTATTCGATTATGACATTTTTCAATTTCGTCTTTTTTTAATGTGACTCAGACGTTTGACTCGGGGTCTGAATTGACTCGGATTTGACTTGGTAAATAGATTTACTCTACACTCAAAGCCGGCAACAATATTCAGATTGAGTCATGGGTGACCATGTGATCTTCAAGGTCTCTGGGAAAATCAAATACAACATCGCAAACACAACAAACGTATCCAACACCAGTTGGTTCTGTCGATTCCAGTTCTTGACATAAAGCACATTGATAGTTTCCAGCATTACCATGTTGCCTTGCCAAATGTTGAACCAATATCATGAAGCCAGACGATTGTTTATTACATTTGTTACAAACATACTTTCCAGTGTTTCTATCCTCAACAATATGTTCTTGTAATTCTTGCGGTCGAATAATCTCTCTGCCGCAAGTGTGACACAACAAATGTCCCTTCTTGTGGGAATTAAGACTACTTGATTGGGAAAATTGTTTCTTACAAACATCACATTCATAAGGCTTGTCCCCTGTGTGTGTTCTTTTGTGTTTAGTTAAATGACCTGATTGTGTAAATTTCTTTTTACAAACATCACATTCATAAGGTTTGTCTCCGGTGTGTGTCCTTTTATGTAATGTCAAATAATCTGACCTTTGAAATATTTTCTTACAAACATCACATTCATAAGGTTTGTCTCCGGTGTGTGTTCGTTTATGTGTAGTTAAACTACCTGACTGGCAAAATCTCGTCTTACAAACATCACATTCATAAGGTTTGTCTCCGGTGTGTGTTCGTTTATGTGATGTTAAATTACCTGAATGTCTAAATCTCTTCTTGCAAACATCACATTCATACGATTTGTCTTCAGTGTGTGTTCTTTTATGTACGGCTAAATGAACAGATTGCCTAAATTTCTTCTTACAAACATCACATTCATAAGGTTTATCTCCAGTGTGTGTTTTTTTATGTATAGTTAAATTACCTGATTGCCGAAATCGCTTCTTACAAACATCACATTCATGTTTCCCATCTTTGCCTCTAGTGTGTGTTCTTTTATGCCTCTCTTCGTACTGGTCAGACATGATTAAATTCAAGTTTTCCTTATCTCACCACAAAAAGGTTTTTTCTTAATAATTTACAATAAAAGAAACTAGAAAGAACTCCACATTTTGAAGAATACGTAGCCTGCGAGCAGGCTCTCTGGGGAAAGAGAGCCTGCAAGGATCCCTTTGATGATTCGGTGCATGCGTCCAATATTTGGACGCAGTGCTCTGATTGGTTGATAACTGATTCATATGAAGTGATTGACAAGCTTCCATAAACTTGCACTTCCCGTTTGTAAAACCGAGCAACACAAAGCTTCGGAATTGCGGCAATGTAGAGATAAAAGTGTCATGTATTTTGATCCTGGTTGACTTTTTACTGTAAATTAATATAGTATTCATATAAAGACGAATACTAAAAGCTTGCATGCTTTATTGTGTCCTTGGCTTGTCTGACTCCTAGGATAAGAAAAGACTGAACAAATTCGCAAACCGAAACCTAGGGACAAGGCATTATATCGCTTCTCTTTTATGAAACAATATTGGGAATTCTGATAATATTCAGTGCATATTGTGTGTATTAAGCTTGTTTTACAATGTTATACTGACTATTTAATATTTATAAGTATGCGGCGTTAAAATGTACAGTAATTTACTCGTCACTTTGTTTACAATAATTATCACATGCATGTTTACTGCAATTCCACTTTTTGTTTCAAAATTTGAACTATAAACATATTAAATTATGTCCAATGTCCATGGTATATCATATTATACTATACTGTATATATATATATATATATATATATATATATATATATATATATATATATATATATATATATATATATATATATATATATATATATATATATATGCAAAAGTGTGTCGTATCTTTATATGTGATAAAAAATCATGTTAATTTACATAAAATTGCTCTAAGCTAATTATACAGTAATTTTATTTATCAAACCGTTTCGACTTATTTTTACAAATGGCCAATCACATGCGAGATTTAAATTCTGAACCCAGTCAAGTGTGGAAGTGGGATTTGCAACCGATGTGACCAGAGGCTCTTCCTTCTCGCCTCTCGTTTCTTTCGCCTCGCAAAGAGCCTCTGGAACCAGGGTAATGGTTAGGTCTAATCAATGTATAAAATTCACACTCGAAATTTTCATGTACAAAACCCTTCTACAATTTGTTACCGAGTGTACAGATGTCATAGATGCCCCAAATGCTGATATTTAACTTCTATAAACAGTCTAACTTCTTCATAGGCTCAGATTCCACTCGATCGCCACTCGCCCACTCAACGGCTGGGTCAATGAGCTTCGGCATTGTTCTGATTGACCAATCACATTACAGCCCCCAAAATTTGGGGGGCATAAATTTATATTAATAATGCATAAATTTAACACAAAGGTAATAAATTAAATATGGCTAAAGCGCATTGCTGAAGCGTTCGAGGTCTTCGAGGACGGCGTTGTGCAAATATGTGCACTTAAAAAGATCTGTTCAACGATATTTATACGTGAACTACATGGGTTAAAGCGACATTTTTTGGGGAAGAGTAATTCCGACGATTTTTACGACACGAACCGAAGTCTCTCTACGAATAATAGTCGCTGGAATGTTTTCGAATCCGTTGCATATTTTTATATTGTGTTTATAAATAATATATCTCATTGAGGATTCTTGGTCATGAAAGGGCAAAGAATATTTTGCGTGTGGCTGAGCAAAATTAATAACCTTTCTTTTTTTAGCTTAGCTAGGTGGCCTAGTCCTTTGAAACCCTCCCTGTTTCTGCTGATTCAGTTGGACATTTATAATTATATTTTCAATAAACCTGGATGTGTTTATTATTGGGCTGGTCTGACATATTGCCAGGAAAGTAGAAAATGTTATTTTGCAAAGTCTTGTGACATATAGTATATTAGTATGTAGGATATTGCAGTATTTAAAAGGCTTATTTTAATTAATATTAAGACATGTTTATATGATCCTGTCAGGTGGGAAAGTGGGAAACCTTGCCAGGCAGCTAGGATGTCATGTTTATACATGTTCGGTAGTGAGTTCATCAAATATATACATGTATTTTTGAACACGAGTTGATATGATAGTCAGGATCTTGGAAACTGCCTCATCCTGCCTAGCTGGGATTTTATAAACAGGCCCTTTCATGGAGCCCATGGCTAGGTAATAATAGGCTTGCATGGTTAGATCTCCCACAAGCTAGTTTGGGCCATTTGACAATATTTTTTTAGACTGGGCAGGTAATTTGTGAACTGAAACTGATATATAAGTGTGCTCATATATGCTAATTGCTAATTACAAACAAGCACAATAAATTCAATATTATTTTATATATTGACAATATGATTTACCATGAATACTAATTGAATAAATGTGGGCACATAGTTATTTGAAGGGCAATAAATAAATCCAATTGGTATCATGTGTTTCTTTGTTGTGAAGGGGCAAAG